AGCCATGACTGTTTCGTGACTGCGTGCGCACGTCCGACGAGACGCATGCGATGCCTGCTCACGGGTTTTGCCCTCGAGCTGTGAAGAGACGCCGTTCACACCCTCCGCGCCTCAGGCGCTGGTCGCGTCGCAGCGCGGGGTGGAGGAGACGCTCGGCCGCGTGACGGCGGAGCGCGCGGTGCGAACGCACAGCAGACGCTCTGGACACACACCCGCACCACCGCAGACCCAGACAGCGCTCTGGGCACACACCCGCACCGCCGCAGACAGCGCTCTGGGCACACACCCGCACCGCCGCAGACAGTGCTCTGGCCACACACGCACCACCGCAGACAGTGCTCTGGCCACACACGCACCACCGCAGACAGCCGCACAAAAGGGCTTCCACTCAGCACACGGGGCGACGCCCGCGCCAGCCAACGGATGACAACCCGACCGGGCCTTCCCTCCACGAGCCACATGCCCCGGGAGAGGCCGCACGCCCCCCACCCCGCCCCCGTTCCCCACCACCGCCGCCTCCCCCCTAGGCGCTCGAGAGGGAGGACGCGGAGGCGGCGGCGGGCGGCGAGACAGTCATCGGCAAAGTCGTGCCCATCGCGGCGGGCGTAGGCAAGGCCGTCGCCGCCGTCAACCGCCTCACCACCTCGCTGCCCCTCCCCAAGAAGGCCGAGTGAGCGGGCGGCGCGAGGAGGCGAGGACGGCATGTGGACTCGTGTGCAGCGCGCGGCGGTCTCTACTCTCTCACTCTCCCATGCATCTCTCCGGACAGCGCTCTGGCTCTCCTTCTCTCATCTCTGTGCCGGTCCCAGCGGGAGAGAGAGAGAGCTAGCCGGGCTATCAGGAGTGTCTACGGTATGTGTGTGTGTTGCGCTGCGGTGTACCTACATCGAAACGACGACTCCGTTTCACGGCTGGCAGAGCGCGTGTCGCGGTGGCATGTTAGATTGTGCGAGTACATATTGGACAAAAGCGTCTCGAAAATGTTTGTGGCAGCTCCGCAGCCTGCGCGCGCTCGGCCGGGACGCACCGCTTGCTGGATACACGCACTCCCTGGGTCCCAGGGAGTGCGTGTATCCAGCGCAGGAGCGAGTAGGCTCGACGCCGCGCTCGCTGTGGAGCTGCCACAAACTCGCCGCCGAGCGTGCCACCGAAGGCGTCCCGTCGGAGGTGGTGGAGTTTGAGACCTGAGGCTGCGGAGGTGACGCCTGAGGCACCGGCCCGTGCACAGCGACTCAGCCGGCGACCGCCACGGGCTCAGACGAGACTTGTCGACGCGTTCCGGCTCAGCTTCACCGTGGTCATCGGGCGTCTGTCGACGTCAGGACCACCCATACAGCTCGCGAGTTTGAGGTCGCAAGAGCCAAGACGGTGGCGTTCAGGTGGCGTTTCGACATCCCAACTTGGCGCACTTGGAGCACTTGGAGTGCAGTCGGTAACCTCACATCCAGGGCCGAGGAGCTAAGAAGCGCACCCAGCGGGCCGGATGGTCGGTATCGGGCTACCGGCTAGGCAGCCCTGACCCCTAGGGGGAGTGCGCGTTCGTTGGGAAAGGGCTGTAAAGTAAACATGGGCGATGACATGGGTCTCCGAGGGTTGGCAACCGGGTTACTCAAAAGCAGGAAGACCGTCACCCTGTGGATCTCGTTGCGCTCGCCACGCCGCGAGGCGTCCGCCGGAGGCCCGCCGGAGGTTTCTTGCTGCGGGCACATCCCGGCAAGCTTGCCGCGCGCAGCGCCCCGCGCCGCAGGCCCGCCGGAGGCTCCCCGGCCGACACACCCCGGCCGTATTCGCTCGTCCACTCCTCGCCCTTCTCGCGCCGCTCTTGCGCACCTCTTGCGCCCCCCTCTTCCCCGCCGGCCCCGAGAGACTTGGCACGCACCCCCCGCCCCCGCCCCCGCCCCGCCCCCGCCCCGCCCCGCCCCCTCCCCCCTCTCACGCCCGGCAAATCCCTTGTGCTGCAGATCGTGGCAGTTGATGTCGCGGCGTCCTCTGCCCCCCCCCCCCCT